GCTCCTCTCGGGGTGGCATTTTTTGTTTGGACTACGGCTTTGGGTAAGATTCTGACTCTGGACAATTTGAGAAAGAAAAGACAAATCACAATCATCTGGTGTTGTATATGTAAGAATGATGGAGAGTTTGTGGATCACCTTCTCTTGCATTGTCCTATGGCATATGATTGCTATAGTCTTATATTTGGTCTTTTTGGCATCCATTGGGTTATGCCTCGATCTTCAAGGAATTGATTGACATTTGGAGGGGCCAAAGGGTGGGGGCCCATGCTCGTGTTTGTTGGAGGGTGACCCTCCTTTGTGTTTGGTGGAGCATCTGGAAAGAGAGAAACAAAAGATCTTTTGATTGGGAGGAAACCTCTATTGGGACACTGAAATTTGCTATTATTAGTTCTCTTTTTCGTTGGGTGATGGGGAGAAATTGTATATCTTTAGATGAGATTGTGGAATTTTTAGGTTCTTTGGGTCCATAGGGCTTTTTGTTTAGTTTCTTGTATATCTCTTGGGATGCGTTCCCCTTTTGAACTCTTTCTAATACATTTTATTTATCAAAAAAAAAAAAAGATGGTTCACCAACTCCTCATCCCTCTTGCACATACAACACCAATTCACAACAACCAAAAGTGATTGGCAAATAATGATTAGAAGAGAGAGAATCCAAAAAAAATCAAACAACAAAAGAAAATAATTGTTAAAAAATAAATAAAAAGTAAGAACAAATAATGATTAAAAAAAAAAAAAACATTTTGATAGTATGATATTGTTATATATTATAACATTACATAGTACATTTATGGCATATTATATATTATATAATATTAAATTGAAGTGTTGATGAATCAGATTAATATCAAGCCAGATCAGATTGTTATCATAATCCATATCAAATTTGTTTAGCTAAATGATTATTGGATTCGAATTGTTAATGGACTATCGTATTAAATGCTTCAATCTTTTTTCCGAGTTTTTGGATTCGGATTAAAATCCGATCCATTAACAGGTTTTTTTTTTCGGTTGGTAAGTTACTCACACACCCATTTTGTCTCCAATGAGACTTGAACCATCGACCTTCCATTGGAAGGTAGAGGAGATACCACTATACTACAGCCCTTGGTGATGATCAATTAACAAGTCTAACTAATAGTAATATATTGAAAATGCAGTAAATATTCCATAATGATTTTTTTTATTGAATATAAATTATTATGACTGATTTATGAAATGTGCGAAAGTTGGAGTTGTTCAATTGGGAGAGAGTATGTACCCCTATTAGAAGAGGAGGTTTGGGGATCCGAAAGTTGGAGCTGTTCAATAAGGCGCTGATGGGTAAATAATGGCTTTGGAGATTTGGAAGGGATAGGTCTTATCTTTCGAGGCGTGTTACTGCATGCCATTATGGGGTAGATTTTGGAGGGTGGATTTCTAAGGAGGTGAGATCACCAGCGGGCATGGGCTCTTAGAAGTATATCCGGAAAGGATGGGATGAGTTTTCCAAACGGATCCCGTTCAAAGTTCGGAGTGCAAGTCATGTTAGCTTTTGGGAGGTGTGGGGATTTTACTCTGGCTCGCAGGTTTCCTCGCATTTTCAGGATAATGAATAAGCATGCTATGGTTGCTGACCATTATCAGCTTGATAATGGGAGGGCATCTTGGGATGTGAGTTCCATAGAAATTTCAATGATTGGGGAGATCTTGGAGGTTGCAGATTTTCTGGGATTGATCTATAGGCAGGTGGTGGAGGGTGAGGGTATGGATGAGATGGTGCGGTTGGGCACCTCTAGAGGGGCGTTTGAGGTTAGGTCATTTTTCCGCTTCCTTACAGAGCCTCCATGCCCCATCTTCCCCTGGAAAGCTGTGTGGAAAACTAAAGCTCCATTGAAGGTGGCTTTTTTCATTTGGACTGCTGCCCTTGGAAGTATCCTCACTCTTGACAACCTTAGAAGGAGGCGTCATATCGTGGTGAATTGGTGTTGTATGTGCAAGAAGTCGGAAGAATCTGTGAACCATCTTTTGTTGCATTGTCCTATGACAAGGATGTTTGGTCTATGTTCTTGGTCATTTTTGGTGTGGATTGGGTTGTTTCAGGGTCCATGGTTGTTATGTTACAGGCTTGGAAAGGGTGTACATTGGAGAGCCGAGTCAGAGATGCTTGGAGGGCCACTCCCCTTTGTATTTGGTGGGGGTTGTGGCACGAGAGGAATAAGAGATCCTTCGAGGGCGAGGAGTCCCCTATTTGGTCCCTCAAGTTTAATATTCTTTGTCTTCTCTTTTTTTGGGTCAATGGGCGGAATTGTATATCTATGGATATTCTTTTGGACTTTGTAGATGGCTTGAAATTGTAGCGTCGCCTTGGGCGCCTTTTGTTTCTTTGGGTTCGCTCCCCTTTGAGCACCTTTAATGAAGTTCACTTGTCAGAAAAAAAAAAAAAAAAAAAAAGACATTATTGTTGGCTATTAATCTAATTCAGTGAGAGGGCTAAGTAAGAAAAAAAAAGGTGTAGAATGGTAAATTTTGTTTACAGAATTAAGTAAAAAAACACATTCGTCTTGCACAAAGACATTCTATTTAGCAAAAAGTATTCTTATGGTATCTGGAGATATAAAATAACTTTGAAGTAAATCTGGAAAATCGAGAGAATAGTCAACTTTGGAAAGAACAAGAAAGCAACAGCAAGGTTACCATGAAAAGGTAGTAAGGTAAACAAAATAGTGCTATTAACTGTGTGGGAACAAAATAAATCGTACCTAAATAAAATAATAAAGTAGCAAATAGTAAAAGTACTTGTAATTTGCAGTCAATGAGGTAGGCCATGGTCCAGACAGTACCCTTTGACAAGACAGTCAAAGTGTATTTTCTGAGTAGAGGGAAGATTAGAAAAAAGATAAAAAAATGTATATGTTTTATTAAAAAAGATGGCAATATAAGTAGGACACCTCCTAAAACATACATGACAGGATGAAAGGGATTTTCATCAATCGTATGGACTATGAATTATCAAATGTCAAGTTCTGAGGCATGTAGATTATTGTGAAGTTTAATTAAACAAATGTTGTTATAGCACTGAGTATCTGTAGCTCAATATTGAAAGGTCAAGTAGCACCTAAGTTCGTTGATAATAAAAATATATATATATATATAGTGTAATTACAGTTGGAGGTTTGCAGCCCTGAGAAACCAAAATCAACTTTACCACATTTTAAAATCGAAGGGGAGATGAGTATCTATTATAGTGGGAATGTTGCAGTAACAAAAAATAGAGTATCAAGCTAAATTATAATACAATTATTTATGAGTAATCAAATGGCAAACATTGGCAACCAAGGGACATAAAGCCAATCAAGCAAAGTGTTGGAAAAGAATGCCCTTCTTTTATTTGTCTGAAATTGCCTCTTCGGCAAGCAATTCAACAATCGTCCTGTGGACAGGCCAGCGTAGGAGGAAGCCGAGATCAATTAAATTGCAATTATCCACCAAATTCTTGAAGCTCCTTCTCTCTTTTGCTTCTTTTTGTAAAATCTGACAGATTGATGGTGCTTTTGGGCACTTTCTGTTGAACACTTAAAGGGGCATCGCTGGTTGACCTAGTAGGAATGTTGGAAGCCAATCAAGCAGCAATTACAACATCAGGATCCAACAATGATTATTTGTGAATTATAAGGTATTGACAGATTTTATCATGGTGATGGAGGCTTTTACTTTTCAGTAGGATGATGAGGAAGGCAGCGGCTTTGGGCTACATTAGGAGGTTTGGAATGGTAAGGGGCACAGTTGGTCAGTTGCAGGTACTACATCTCATCTTTGCAGATTACAACCTTGTGTTCTGTGACACGTTGGAGGTACAGTAGAGGTACCTGAGATGTGTGTTTGTGTGCTTTCAAGCAGTGCCCAGGTTGAAGATAAATATTAGCAAGAGTGAGATTATTCCGGTTGGGGAGGTAGTCAATAAATCCACTATAGCCAGTATTTGGGTTGTGGTGTTGGGTCCTTTCTGTTGACACATTTAGGCTTACCTTTGGGAGCTTTGTCGAGGGATTTAAATGGGATCCAGTGGAAGAGAGGTTCGAAAAAAAGGCTAGCCGGGTGGAAAAAATAATATCTTTCAAAGAGAGATCACCTAACACCAATCAAGAGTACCCTCTCGATCCCTCCAACATATTTCTCTCCTTTCAGATTCCCTCCTCTTTAATAAAGAAGATAGAGAAGCTATCCCACAGGCAGGAATGGGAGATGAATTCCACGCGGTGAATTGGGCGCAGGTTCGTCAACCTCTTCATATAAGACAATTGGGTGCAATGAGATTCAACTTGTTTAACAACGCCTTGATGAAGAAATGGCTTACGGGTTGAGGAGAATTATTGAGTAAAATTGGAGAGGAAGGGAAGGGTGGTGTTTTAAGGAAGTTACCACCCGTGTGTGAGTGCGTGTGGAAGAATATTCACAAGGCTCGGACAAGTTCTTCAAACACGTTTGATTCAAGGTGAGAAGTAAGAGACATGCTATCTTGGATGGATGTTTGGTATGAAGATACCTCTTGCATGCATCTTTTAGAGGCTATTTAGGATTGCAGTGGATAAACAATTATAATGGTCCACCGTTACTTGATAATGGGAGGTGACATGGTCTGCAATATTTGGGAGACAACTTCAGGACTTGGAGATAGGACTATATTGTAGCTTCTTTACATTAAGGACCCAGTTGATGGAATCCCAACACTCCCGAGCTGTATATAGCATATAACCGATAACCATAAAGGACATTTTGAGGCCATCGTCTTTATCTATCCTCTCAAATTTTCTCTCCTCATTTGTACCTACTTTCTTTCCTCATCTGTAACCGTGAATCCTAACTTAAAGCAATTGTTCTACCTCTTAACATGTAGAAACAAATACAACACAATGCACAATAGCCAAAGAATGGCATCAAAAAGGTTACTCGGTTTCACTATATTCGCATATCTACCTCATAAATTAAGAAAACATGCTCCAAAATGAAATACTTACGACATGCCCAATACACGAGAGTAGAAATCAAGACTGACTTTCGGATCCTTAATTCGATACATCTGAAATCAAAAAATGTATTAAATAAATACACGTACCACAAATGTATGTTTGTATGTGTGTATATAGTCAAGTCCTTTAAAATTTGAGTAGGTATATAATTGCATTGCAAGCTTGGCAACTTACAGTTTGTTGCATGATGTACCCTTTAGTGGCTCCATCAGGAGAGGTGTGGAGGCCAGGATTGTTGGAGGCTGATTCTTTGGAATCAGAAGCCATTGATGACGATATGACTCGAAAGCTCTGCAAAAGTCACATAGAAATAGATTAGAGGAGATTGATTGAATAGGGAATGGAAGCAATCGACAATTTAAACCTTTGCCTTATTGATGGTAAAGAAATTAGGGACCAGTGTTGAGGAGGGTTTGGGCGTGAATCGGAAAATAGAGAGTCGAGATAAAAAAGAGGTGATTGTACAGGCCATTTGGCCACTGAGGCAGAGAGAGCTCACCTTTGTGATTTTTTAAGCAACGAATTGCGGTGGCTATGTTGCCCAATTCATTTCATAAAGATAGATCATACGGACTGAACGAGTTGATTACTCACATTCTTAAAACGCAATCGTAGACGAAACAAAAAGAGGACCTGATTTGATGGTTCTTGATCTGTCAATATCTTCCTTCTAAAACGAATCACGACCATTGATCCCCCCACTCCAACAGATCAGATCTATTTGCATGGAGACACGTGGCCTACTTACGAGACACGGTAGAGCTCTACGAATCACCAAGACATGTGGGTCACTACTTCTCCATTTGGTCTTCACTCTTGACCAATTGTCTGCTAACGGTTGGGGAAGAAACAAACTAGCGTATGACCTGACCTTTAGGAGTTTTTTCCTTTCATAGAAGTTTCTCTACCTGTTAGAGTGGCGTTTTTTAGGGGCTTCTTGCTCCTCCCTTTTCTTTGATCTCGTTTGTTTTCTATTCCATAATTTCGTTTTAAGCTGTTGCTGTCCTTTGGAGGATCGCTTGATTCCTTTCCTCTTGGAGCTTTTGCTGGATCTGGGTATTTTGAATTTGTGGATTTGTGTGGTCCGGTGGGGTGTGGTTTGTTACGGGATATCCAGTCGAGACTGTTGGGTGGTGATTTGATCTTTTGGTCGTTTAAAGGTCCTGATTTGGTTGCGATTTGACGATATCTTGCTCTTCATATTCCTTTCGATTCCGATTTCTTCTTGTCGTCATGTCTCCTTTTTGTAATTACTCCAGATCTCGAATCGTTCTTGCTACGGTGGTTATTATTTGGGCCGTTTGGTGGTGTACTCTTCCCTTACTTTTGCTTTCCGGTGGGGTATGGTTTGTTACGGGAATATCCAGTCGAGGCTGTTGGGTGGTGATTTGATCTTTTGGTCGTTTAAAGGTCCTGATTTGGTTGCGATTTGACGGTATCTTGCTCTCCATATTCCTTTTGATTCCGATTTCTTCTTGTCGCCATGTCTCCTTTTTGTAATTACTCCAGATCTCGAATCATTCTTGCTACGGTGATTATTATTTGGGTCTTTTGGTGGTGTACTCTTCCCTTACTTTTGCTTTCTAAGTCTGTCTCTTTGTCTGTCGTGTTCTCTCTTTCTGGTGGGTTCCTTGTTGGTGGTGGTGTGATTCAGTCTTGGATCTTGGGGGTGTTTGTTCTTGATTTTTTGTGTGGATTTTGGTTGTTATTTTATTATCGGTGGTTTTCTTATCCTTATTTATCTTAAGGATCTAAGCTCTGGATACCGAGTTGGCTCTATGGGTCATATTGGTGCTTCCCTATTCCCAGTGGTCTCCTCGGCGATGGAGTGATTGGTCCGCTGAATTCTGGTGGGGTGTTGGCCTGAGCTTGCTGGAGTGTCGGTGTGCAAGGTCGGCTAAGGCGGTGTCAGTTTGGTTGGTTATAACGTCAGGGATGACGTACCAGTTACTTTTCAAGGACGTCTTTGGATGGATAGTGGTAGGGCTTATGCACGTCATTTTTTCAACACATCACCTATTGTTTCTGTTGGCAACTCTACTAGGTACGCTCATTTTTATTATTTCTGGCATTGTGCCGCCTGTGTGTATGGCTGGGGTTCATAACTGTCTTGTGTACACTTCCTTTCCTGATCTTCATCCATTTATTTTCCTTCGCACTGTGCATGGGTGGTTTTTCAACTGGTGTCAGTTTTATTTCTTTGAAATTGGGGTCTTGAAAATGATTACAGTGTATTGGCATGTGTCTCCATCTTTGTTTATATATCATCTGTTTTTGCCTTTCTTGCCATGTCCTCCTGTTACATACTTTAGCTTTCCTTTACTGTGTTCTTGATGGGGTTTAATTGTGTTCCTTGTTTGCCTTTGTATGGATACTCCATTTGTGAGCGTGATGGCGCCAGGTATTCTGGATCAATTAAGGGGCTTGAAGTTGACTATGGTTGAAAAGGAGCCCATTCTTTTATCTGAGGAGGATACAGCTCAAGGGGATCAGGTCTGCAAGGTGTTGGCACTAAAACTTGACAGCCACCTCAGTGGTGACGTGGACCAGTGAGGAGTCGACAAGTGTTCAGCACGGTTCCAAGAAAAGTCGGCCAATAGAGAGATAAAAGGAGAAAATCTAGGGAGATATATTTCAGCCACTTTATTGATAAGGTTGTTGCTAAATATATTTACAGAGTTTTGAATCAATTCAAATATGGTCATCGATTAAAAAGGAAAGACTTAGAAATTTAGTCACAATAAATAACTAAATCCCTACGAAGTAGGAATTTAGTTGAAGAAGGAAAAGGAAGGTCGTAGAATATGGCAGTCGTGACATGGGCAAAGCTAAACAAGGCAAGTGACATTTACGAGCATTCAATAATGGGTTTAAAGGGAAATATTACGGCTATCAGAGTATAGAAATTGCTAAAAATTAGTAAACTTTATAGCAACAAGAGCTGATCAAGTCGAAGGAATTAGTAGATGACAGAGAAGGGTATTCGGCTAAGGAAACTGAAAGCATCGATATTGAAGGCAAAGTACACCGGATTTGACTCAGTTTAAAATTTTGAGGAGAAAGAATCAAGGCAGAGAGATATTTCAGCAAGAAATAAAGATAGATTAGTTGATTTAGAACTTCTATAAATAGGAAAGTTGTATCCTATTCCAATTTGTCCAGCACTACTCACAAAATAGTATGAATCCAAAATTCATCAAATAACTCTACATCATCTTATTATCTTTAAATATTTTATCCAACACCACCCACAAAACATGAATCAAAATTCATTCAAATGACTCTACATCAATTTATCTTCAATTCTTTTGTCCAAATGGCAAATTTCATTCGAAGAATATGAGTTCTAATAACTTATCATTCTTTTTGCAATGCTTAATTATGTTATTTACAATTTATTCTTTATTTTATGTAAACGGATTCAATGGCCAATCTTTGATCAGATTTACGTCATGTTAATTCGGCCAGCTTATTTCACTTCATTATTTTTCATGTAATTTCCATTTGGCCATTTCCTTTATCGTCATTTCAATTCAGCCATTTATTTTTCATGCTATTTCAATTCAGTCTTCTTTCTTTACTGTCAATTTAAATTCAGCCCTTTTCATTTAAATTTTCTTCAGTCATTGCATTTTTATTTCTTTTAAACACCTTGAATAAAAAGTCCTTCCACCAAGGTATAAAAAAACTTTGCTGGGAGTTCTTACTATTCTCTCTGCCACACATTCGCCTGAGAGTTAGCCATCGGAAAAAGGGATAGGCTAGTGTTCAAATCAATATTTGAGTGGTTTATACAAATTCTCTGGCATGCCCACAAAGAGTCCATCGACCAACATAAGACCAAAAAACCGCGTAAACATATTTTGGCATGCTCGGTGGGACCATTAGTGGGTGTTTAGAAGAGGCAAAGATGCCACCACGGCTTACAAAAAATTCTAAGGCCGTGGTTACTGATGAAGATTTGGAGGAAGGACAGCAGCCAGCTCAAGCTGAGAACTCTGCATCCGGTCCTACTGATGAGTTAGCGGTGATGCAAGCACAAGTGAGCTCATTGGCAGATGCAATAGGAAGGATGGGTGCACGCTATAATGACATGCATGAAACTATGTCCCAACTTTCAACTGCTATTTTGAACAAGCCAACTTAGGCAAGCAGCTCCAACAATCAGGAATTGACTCTTTAGCCAAATCCGTCACAACCTACTCGGCCGGAGAAGGCCGTTGAATTATTACAGTTATGGCCACCAGTAATGATTCTCCAACCAGGTGCAACATCAAGTTAGTCGACTCATACGCCACCAACCTGGGCGCGCAGAGAACCACCTGCAACCTACTGTATCATGTTTTAATCAACTGTCAGTAGCAGCTCCGCGGCCACAGGTAATTCCACCAAACCCTCCTTGGGTACCTTTAAACTTAGGGGGCAATCAGATCAGGTGAAGGCCACCGAACTCACTATATACTCATGTGCCACCACAGGTTGGGCTCGAGGGGCAGAATATGGCTAATCGACCACATGATTAGCCGAATTACTATCAACCAGCGGCTAATCAACCGCCAGTTTTTAATCAAGTACCACCAGTAGTAAATCAGCCACCTTAAGTCATGTTAGATAGAAGACAATTAGTTGATTTACTCACACAAAAGTACGGCCTGGAACTTAAAGGTGCCGGCAGATCAAGTTGAGTTCCCTAAAGGATATAAAGTCCCTGACTTTGTAACCTTTAGTGGAGAAGGGAACCAATCGACCGTGGAACACATTGGCCGCTTCACAGTTCAATGTGGAGAGGTCAGTGTGAGCCCTTGGTTAAAATTAAGACTTTTTCCTAACTCTTTGACAGGGGCAGCTTTTTCATAGTATATTCGTTTACCTGCTAATTATGTTTTTAATTGGCCACAGATGGAGGAATTATTTCACAATCAGTTCTACCGTATAGAGACGGAACCAACTCTGACCGATTTATCCAGGCTGAGCCAATTGCCTAGTGAATCGGTTGAGACATTCATTGCAAGGTTTAGGAGGGCAAGATTGAGATGCCGTGTACCTCTTCCCGTTTAGCTTTGAATGGCCTTGATTTTGAACTCTGAAAGAGGTTTGAAGGAGTCCCATTTCGTAACATGTACGACCTGGCCGAGAAAGCTACCAGGTATGAGTTGGTTCTCAAGGAGGAGAAAGAACGAAAAAATTCTTCTAAAGGTACGTACGATAGGGACCCAAATTATGAAGTTTTTTCAACTGATGTGATTGAAAAGGAATATCTTGATGCCAATTTAGCCGAAATTATCATTAAG